ATGGACATCAATGGACATGGAATGTACCCTAAATTGTAGAATCACTCGTATATATTTATATCAATATATACAATTTCAGAATCAAACAGAGCACTCTCATAATAACGTAACACTATCAGAGACTGGATATATCCCCCCCCCCCTCTCTGGTCGCTACAATGAGGGAAATAAATGACGGGCCGAAAGTTTTATTTACAAGTATTACAAGTAAGCAGAGGACACCAAACCAACTGAGACCTGTCTGTCCGCTGCATCTACGCACACACTGTACCACACACACCTACACCACACACACGCACCTACAGCTCCTAAAGCATATCATCAGGCTACAGCCGTTGTGTATTTTATTATGTGAAGCACTAAATGGTTTTAGAAAAATATCGACTTTGTTTGTAGATATCTACTAAACTAAAGCAAATAAAGAGAGTAGGCCTGTTATACTGAGTGATATATATTATACACACTGCTCTGCTTCTGCACGGACCTCACAGCTGTTCTCTCTGTAAACATCGCGTCGCGATGAAAGCAGTTAATAAAATAATATCCAGGGGATGCATGCAGAGCTGTCATTGGCTGAGATCAGTCCGGCCGTGCGTCACGACTCTTTGAAACATCACTGTTGCCGGAAATGCATCCACGGAGGAGCCGTGGAGGACCGTGGAGGACCCATCAGTGTATCCTCGGTTATAGCTCCTCCAGAGAGCCTCCTCGACGCTCGATGCTCGGTCCTCGATGTGCATTTAGAGAAATGAGATGTCCTTCAACATGGCTCGCTAAAATTCATTTCCGGGTCACTACCAGAGGACCGAGGAGTCGAGGAGTCGAGGAGGGACATTTGATGACATGAGAACGGGCCCATGGACACTGGACACTTATTTATGTATATAGTTCGGTGTATAGTTTGATATTTATTTATATATATGATATGTATATATTTTATTAAGTTTATGATAATGTTTATTTGATGTTAAAACTCATTTAGAGTGTTATTTTGTTATACTGCACCTTACTTACTTTTAAGGGTTGTTTTCAGTGGCGACTGGTCATTAGGGGCAGGTGGGGCACAGCCCCACCTAGTGTCAGCAGAAAGTATTACACATAATGAAAACAAAAAATGCAAAAAGATGCAAAAAAAGAAATAAAAAAATATATAAAATATATTTTAAGGTCATGTTTAATCATCTGATTCGTCTGTACATTGCTGTTTTAGTCTGTGTTCTTCTAATTAGTGTCTACAGTGCCGTTTTGAGCCATGTGGGACAAAACCTGATTCTGCCCCTCCCTCTCACTGTTTAAGTGAACGGTGACTGTAAAAACTACACTGCGCATGCTCAGAGTATTTTTCAATGGAATGTGTGTGGCAAAAAAAAAAAGGCCAAAGGGGCACAGAGGTGCCATCCCCACCATACGTCAGCTCACATTATTCAGAACTGATTGGCTGTAAATATGTCACGTGTGCAGTGCTGCGAAACGTCACGTGTAGTGTGAAGAGAAGACGAGAGAGCAGCATATAGCTAACATCACCAGCGATTAAAAATAAGTAAAAAACGGAAAGAAAATGAATGAAGTTGACCATTTACTGGAGCACACATTTGAGACACTTAGTCTCGGAGAGAAACTGGAGGTAAAGCGCCTCGGTGCCCACCATCCACCGGATTTCCAAATGGTCCAGACTGCGGGCAAAGTGAACCGCGGGTTTAATGCTGAGTGGTTTGCTAAAAAGAAATGGCTAACGGCGAGCATCCAGAAGAATTCCCTCTTTTGCTTTCCTTGCCTGCTTTTTGGTGAAGATCAAGGTACTTGGTCGAGGACAGGTTACAAGGACTTAAAGCATCTTTCGGAGAGGACAATGAAGCATGAGAGCAGCAACAGTCACTTGGAAAATGCCGTAAAATTGGGATTACTGGGAAGGGTGAATGTTGCAGCTCAGATTGACAGCGCCTACAGACGCGGCATTGATGATCATAATAGAAAGGTGGAAGAAAACAGGTACGTGTTGGGTCGGATCATCACCTGTATTAAACTGTGTGGGAAATGTGAGACAGCACTGCGGGGCCACGACGAGTCGGCGGACTCTCTGAATCCAGGGATATTCAGGTCAATTTTCGAGACAATGTGTGAGGGCGATTCCAGGCTTCGACGGCACTACGAAGCTCAGCCCGTTTTCAAAGGGACATCAAGCACCATACAGAATGAACTCTTGGACTGCATGTATGATGTGTACAGGGAGGAAATATCCAAGCAAGTGGACAACACATCATTTGTTGCCGTTCAGGCCGACGAGACAACCGATGTCTCATGTAAATCGCAAATGGTGATTGTGCTGCGATACATTATGCCTGACCTCACAGTTACAGAGTGTTTTTTGGAGTTTGTGGAAGTAAAGGACAAAACTGGTGTAGGTCTCTCTAACAGCATCAAGGCTGTTCTTGAACCCCTGAAGCTGAAAGAAAAGCTAATCGCTCAGACCTATGACGGCGCGGCCGTCATGAGCGGTAACGTGCGCGGGGTACAGACGGTCATGAAGGAGACGTACCCAAACGCTCAGTTTGTTCACTGCTACGCCCACCAACTGAACCTGACCCTGCAGCAACTGTGTTCAGCAAGGATGAGCATCCTGAAGGTGTTTTTTGCAGATCTAACTGCTTTTTCCACTTTTTTCTCCGGTGCTCCAAAACGTGTTGCAGCTCTTGCAGAGGCAACACAGAGACGCATACCACGGCCACCGGCTGTGAGATGGAACTTTAAAAGCAGAACTGTGAACGCGGTTTGGGAGACCCGAGAAGCACTTCTTCAGTGTATGGACCATATACGCACACAACCAGGATGGGATGCGGTCACCATAAGTGAGGCATACGGCCTGTCAAAGAAACTGCGGGGACCGAGCATTTATGCAGCTCCTGGAGTTTTTTTCGTTGCTTATGCCAGAAGTGGATGTTTTATACAACACTCTGCAAAAACGAACCATCGATGCACCTGGGATCAACAGCGCGCTCTGCCGCTTCAAGGAAAATGTCCAGAAAATGAGGCAGCAAACTGATGCATTGGCCGCCACCACTCATGATGGAACAGACGAGCCAGGCCGACGAGTCAGCAGCACAGCGCCGGTAATGAAGGAGGCATGTGACACAGTCATCTCACAGGTGGAACAGAGGTTCTCACAGAGTGACCATTTGATCGCTGCAAAGCTCGTTGACAGCTCATTCTTCCCACAGCATGTCCTGTCATTTCCTACACCTGAGCTTGACTGCGCAGTGAAATTGTGGCCTGCTTTGGGAAACAAGGAGAAGTTGAAGTCTGAGCTGACCACGCTCTACCGCCACAGTGAACTTCACACTGGAAACACTGCCCTGTCTCTGTTGAAATCCATTCACGAGAACAACTTGGAGGATACGTTTGCTGAGACTGTTATTTTGGTCAAAATAATAGTAACAACTCCGATGACGACATCCGAGTCAGAGAGGAACTTTTCCACCCTCAAAAGGATAAAGACTTTCACTCGCAACACCATGGGACAGCTGCGACTTAACGCATTGGCCATGCTTTCAATTGAAAGCCAGTTGATCCAGCAACTACAGGACTTCATCCCCAAAGTGATAGAAACATTCTGTCAGAGGAAGGACCGCCGTGCCGCTTTTCTTTTCAAGTGAGCCTTCAGCTTTGGTAAGTTCATTTATGTCATATATTTAGTTGATCTTCTGTGTTTTGCCTCTGCTGGATCGATTGATATTGTGACCTCGGTGATGAGTGTCTGTGTTTTCCTTATATTTACAGTCTATGGTGTTTAATGCTAAAGCATTATGGTGGGTTGTGTGTTGTTAAGATTTGCTTTGTGATGGTGCCCTTTACTTATGTATTAAGGTGCATTACAATATGACATCCCCACGCTGTGTACCGTAAATTTACGTACACAGTGTACGTAAATGTATGCGCTGAAAGTGTGTGCTCGTGTGGTCTTCAGTATGTAATTTGACATCCCCCTCTCGATCTCTAAACATCCCATCTCGAGACTGCCTGAAGCTCTAAGGGCACAAGAAAAAAAATCATAGTGTTCTTCGCCGGGCACAAAAGAGCGCGACCAACGCCCAACCCTCCTCGCACCCTCCTCTTTCTCTCCCCCCCTCTCTCTCGCTCTCCTCCCCCCTCTCTCTGTCCCCCCCCCTCTCTCTCTCTCCCCCCCACCTCTCTCTCTCTCCCCCACCTCTCTCTGCCCCCCCAGTTTTGTACACATAGAAACGCCACTGGTTGTTTTACATTTTATTAAGTTGAAGTACTTTAAAATAAAGCTGTGGTTCTATCAAGTACGTGACTGTCCAATAATTGAGTGGAGTGCTATGTTTAGAATTTCTATATGTTTTCTCTTTGTTTGTTAAAAGACATACATTATAACACCAATACCTTCTTAGTTCATATTACATGTAATGGTTACATTTCATTATTTATCCACAGCACACAAACCATGAGCTTCAATACAGGTCCATATTGGTTACTTCAAAACTATCCCTGATAAAGAAAATAATAATAATTGTATGTAATAAACTTGAAAGAAGTAGATACGTTTTACTTAATATTTATTAGAAATATATAATATTTAATAGAAATGTGATAATAGTTAACTGCATAACACAAGGGTATTAGTCAACAAACGCATACTTTGTTGGTCTTTAAAGTACTTCTGTATATAAATACTTGTACATGCTACAGAAGGGAAACAGGGAGCCAGAGAATCGTTTTTTCTCCTCTTTTTCTCTTTTTCCTCTCTTTTTCCTTCTTCCCCCTTCTTCTCCTTTCTCTCCCCCCCCCCCCCCTTGCAAGACTATTGTTCCCCAGCTTACATCTTTATATATACAGTCTATGCTTACATCACATCAAGCGCAGGACCGTCTGCTCAAGCTCCAATCTATCACCCAATCTTGATACTTGGACGGAGCCAATCACGTCAGGGCATCACAATGGACAGAGCCACTCACGGCACGGCTTCTCCCCGAACCCGCCCCCCCTCACGCTTTTGGTTGACAGTGGACAAGTCGCGAGGCGCATCAGAGGTATTCAGAGTAAGTAACAACACTACATGTTTCTATTTTCCCGTTTACAGTCATAAAACCTATTTTTACAACCGTCGTTTTGGCGTCAACTTTTACATTACGATATACAGTCGGCCACTTCAGTCTGCATAAAGTTAGCAAGCCAGCATTGCTAATGCTATCGTGTCTAGGTTAAATACACGTCATTATATTAATCAATGTCAACAGCCATGTGTTATACATCCGATTGACAACAGTAATTTAAATAAGTTGTTAAACGACTCTTGTATGAATGGGCATGTTGTAATTAGTAACTACACTTCTGTGAGCAGTGGTACATTAGTCATACAGCATACTGTATACACAGAGGTGGGAAGTAACTAAGAACATTTACTCAAGTACTGTACTTAAGTAGAATTTTGAGATACTTGTACTTCACTTGAGTGTTTCCATATTTTTCTACTGTGTACTTCTACTCCACTACAATTCAGAGGTAAATGGTGTACTTTTACTCCACTACATGTGTTTAATAGCTTTAGTTACTTTACAGATTTGGTTAAGATGCCTATTGGTTACTGGTGGCGTTTTATGAGTTTATGTTTATCAGTTTATTTGTTCAAATAGACACCTAAAGTATATCATATATTATATGACATAAATATCTTTATGTGAGATAAGGGATCGTTGCTCAATATAATATGATGAAGTGTGTTATATGCTCCAGGAAGGATACAGTATATTGTTGAATATATATTAAAGATAGCTATATACTGTATATAACATTAATTGTAATTCAATATACATACATCAATCATTTATGGATAAAAGGATAACTTCACCGTTTATGAACATGATGTGTTTATACATGATTATATGTGTAGATAACCTGTATAAATAATGGTTAACATGGTATCAGTGTTGTTCGCTTTGCAGTGTAGTTCTCTCTAACACTTGCATTGTTATTTTACTTAAAGTTTAGATGATCACTAAACCTATAAGCCATAAAGAAATGGGAGATGCAGAATGGACGGGCTTTGGCCTTCAGGAGGGATAAACCCGCTCCAAGGAAACGGAAGTGACGTCGTGACCTCTGTCAGAAGGTAAAGTATAGAAACATATGTACCTATTACTTATTATTCATAAATGATAAGTATATTACTGAACATTTACAATTGACTGGTGCAAACATTATCAATCAAATGATTTACACTGAGTGACTCACTCCAGACTAAGGTGCCGTTTACACGAGGACCAAACGGCACACTTCACCCCAAATTGCTCCTGTGGGGATTGTCCACAGTATTGAGTATGTAAGTCACTTTGGATAAAAGCATCTAACATGTCATGTCATGTACATCGACTTATTCACATTCTGCTTCATATAGTCCCATTTTTCTTAATTTATACAATTTCTTTAACTGAAAAATACAGTTTGATATCACAGAGCCATCAAACATGATCAGTGAGACCAATACAATGACCCCAACATAAAAACATGGGTCTTTAATCTACTTTAAAAACTCCAATGGGAAGCTGCTCCATAGAAACAGAAAGCAGCCTCCCCAGATCTCTGTGAATATATAAGGTTAGGAATAATAAGGTTACACTGAACATCTGTTTTGTTTATTCATACAGCACATTTCAACACAAGGCAACTCAAAGGCCTTTACTAAAAAGAAGACATTAAGAAACACATTATAACATGTCATTTAGGGGAGGCTGTGGCGCAGTGGACTAGTGCGTTGGTGTTGGGATCAGGGGATCACAGGTTCAAACCCCTCTGCAGTCAGCATGTCATTGTGTCCCTGGGCAAGACATGTGGGGATTGTCCATATATAGAAACTCTGCACGATGTTTTCAAGTTTGATGCCGGCATCTACTACAACAACAATGGTCTTCCAGGTCAGAGTGAGCCGTTCAAAGGACCAGTCTCACATTTTCCAGCAGAACTGAAGCACGGAAACGCCTCCATTGTCATCAGAAAGACGACAGCAGCCAACAGTGGAATCTACAGCTGTTCTTTTCCACGTCTGCAGCCTCCTCAGACATTCTCCTTTCAGCTTGATGTTGGTGAGTACTTTTGTTGGACCTACGTGCGTCTTGTCTTTGTGGCAATAAAAGACGCTGCATTTGAACGGCCCTTAAGAATTGAATACTAAGCGTAACCATGGTTACGGTATGGTTGGAAAAATCATCGTGACGCTATAAACATCCAATTAATTTTGCTGCCCTTCTAAATACAAATGGAAACATGTAGCTCCTTTATATGTGGCCTGTGTGTGTGAATTTGTGTCTCTGCTCATGTTTTCCCTGCTCCATTTAAGAGCGTAAAACACCATGAGGAAGCAAGGAATATTTGACAAGAAATTAAGGATTTGTATTAGTCTTTCAGATCTCGTATTTAATTACCGATCAGGAGAAATCTCAGGTGATGTCTCTGAGCAGTGTGTGCTGCAACTCCTGTATATTCAGTTCACATTAGTTATTGTTTTTACGGACATATCTATCTTCTTATTCTTTGTACCTAGCTAGCCAATAAGAATGATTTGAGTGGAGTGCAGCCTAATCATTCCCAATGAGCTCCATTTGGTTACTGGATAATAGGACTGCACCAGCGACGTGCAGGGGGGCAGAGCCTCCCCTGCACGTCGCTGGAGTGCACCATTATGGCCAAAATGATAATCACGATTATTTATTATTATTATTATAACAACATTAACATGACAAGTAGTTATCATGATTTTTCATTGATTTAACAACAATATATTGTTGTATTGCACCTTCACATTTAAATAAAGAAAGCACGGCTTGCACTTCTGTGGTGAGCTACAGTCCTGCTCATTTAGGGTTGCACAATATAGTTGAAAGAAAAACACTGCAGTGTGAACACTTGAATGTATTTAGCTGGGTTTGAGATTTGCCTAAAGTGCTTCTGCCTTGGCATCCCAGTCAAAGTATGAGGACCGGAGACGAGAGCCATTTAACCATTCATTTCCTTCACAAGAGTTTGTTGACTGCCACAGATAAAGATGATTTTAAGGAGAGAATATAAACACAAAAATAACAATCAGGAAAAACAAAACACTAAGAATCAATGAAATCAAATGTTGCTTTTACATAGTAAGCATAGACAAAGCCATCAATAACTATAAGACATATTGACGACTTACTCAAAGAAGTATTACACGTTCAAATTAGCAACTTCCATTAGTACACAGGTACAAATGGAATTTAGTTTGATGTTTATTAAAGCCGTTTTACAATGGCTGTTAGCTTGTAGCTGTAGCATCTGCCACGTCGGGTAAGAACAGGTTTACCCTCCCTCTGGTCACCTATGAACATGTTTATACACCCTGTGCAGCTAATGCCTGCCACCAAGTTTTCAAAATGATATTGCATGATAAATATAAACTAAATCGAATGACATGAGAACAAATAACATAAATGGCTCCTAAACTCTGTGTGACCTGACTGCAAGACTTTCTATCCCCTTTGGGAGAATAGTTCCTGTTATTACAATTGATCTGTTTTTGTATAAGTTTTGATGTTCTACCTGTTCACAGCTGCCACTCCAAAGCCATCTGTCAGGACTCTCACAGCCACCGCAGACTGGTCTTATCTGCAGTGTGAGGTTCCTGGTGCTTCTCTAAACACTAAAGCAGAGTGGCAAAACAACGATGGAAACATCCTGGAAGCTGAGGAGGAACGAGTCCCAGAGGAAGACCACGTCTTCATCTCTCTCTACACTAAGGTGACCAGGACAGACCTCTAAGTGTGTGGTCTCTCAGGAGGACATCAAGCATCGGGTCTCTGCTCAGACCTTTGTGTTCATCTGTGGTGAGATGAGTTTATATATGAAGTGATTTCAAATGTTGATGTGTAATTTAGCTTTAGAAGATGTAGATGCCTTGAGTGATGTTGTTCTGTCAGTGTCCTGAACATGTCGAGTAACTTATATATTTTGTATGATGTTTTTCAGAGAGCAAGTGTGAGGACTCATACAGCACAGGGGCCATGGTTATTGCTGGCATAGTTTCATTTGTTTCGGGAGCTTTAATTCTTATTGCAGTTCAGAAGGTATTGCTTGCACATGGGAAGCCCAGGGAAATACAAAGCAATATAGGTACGTTTATATAATTCTATTGAATATATAATTTTATTTTTTATTCTGTGTTCATCAGATATGTCCAGAGACTTGACTCTTTATCTTCTTAGATGTGCTTCATTATGTTCTAATAAAGTAGATCATAGTCATCTGACACCACAAACCACAATGTATAAACCATAATACCATACGACTGAATGCGGGATTAATTTACAGCAGTGAAAATACTTGAATGAAAAGTGAATATAGTATAAATAAAAGTATCAGTCAGACTGCTGATGAGAGTCTGATGGTCCTCAGGGTTCATCTGTCAATCACCCATTCATTCCTGCTGAAGAACATTCAGTCAATAACTAACACACAATACCAACATGGACATGTTTGGTTTGGGTTAACAATAATGTTTCTGCATTGTATAAAAGTTGACTTTATGTAATATATGTTTTTATTTTCTCTGCTGCTGATATAGATCCTTCAAAGCAGCCACTGAGGTCAGCTGAGTGATAGCTGTGTGAACAATCTGAGTTTCCTGAGTGTGAGGACATTGAGGCCGCTCCTCACCTTCAGAAACCTTTCTGAGGAGTCAGGTTAGAATTAGGTTTGGTTGCTCGCCGGTGCATTGGCTCAGATATTTAATATTAAACTCTCTTTATAAACCTAAAACAACCTTAACCCTTTGTTTCCACACAGCTTTGTTTTGTGATTGTAATTCTGTAAAGTATACAGAGAGAGCCCCCTAGTGTTCAAGGCAAGGAACCTGAAGCGTTGCAGAGACAAACACAGGACCAGGGGCCTCATTTATAAAGGGATATACGCTCAAAAAATGGCGTACGCCAGTTTCTACGCAATGTTTGCGATTTATAAAATACTAACTTGACGGGAAAATGTGCGGTCCTCCACGCAAACTCTAACCCATGCGTACGCACTAAGCACAAACACGGGAGAGACGAGAAACTGCGACACCGTTGGCAGAAGGAAGAATGGAGAGAAATATGTGGAAATAATACCATCAATAAAATGTTACCTCTCATTTATCAAATATGAAGAATTCAGTTTCAAACATTGATTAAAGCCAATCTTAAAATGATTAAAAAACGCCTGTTTGAGACTCCTCAGTGCACACAAAAACATAACTTGGAGAAATAAATAAATACGGATATGCTATTTAAAACCACCTCGAATATGTTGTGTTAATGTTATGAAATGTTTTCTCATAAATGATGCGGTAAGCAGGAGGACAGAATTACGTCTAAACTGACGCCGTTTTGCATTTCTATAGGTTGTAGATACGAGCATGGTTTTATATACTATCACGTTTAATCGTGTTTTATGCCGTTTGCCAAGACTTGATAAGTCGCTCGTAAAACCCAGGAGGTATGGAAACTAAGAACACCATATGTGGTAAACAGCTAATATAACACAACACATTGTATTTCCTTTAACTGGTGGATTATGGATATATAGTTGCTGATCGACAGCTGGAACACAAACCACCAAATACAACACAATAATTCAGATCCAGTCGTCATGACTACACTCCGGAGGGATTCCCCCATCATTTCTTACAGTTTCTCATCAAGGGGGGGTCTCCTGTCCCCGGGACAAACACACTGCCTGAGGAAGGCTATGTGTATTTATTTTGTCATTAACTTTTTTCGGACCACTTATTTATTTATTTTGGTGACGATCCGACCTCCATGCTGCTACTCTGGTTCAAACTGCATCCACCAAACAATATGATTTATCTCGACCTCCCCACAATAACCTAATTCTGACACGGTGTGAGATGTCTTTTTTAGCTGTTCTGTCCTCATTCCCTGCGATCTTCTTCATGCAGTCAGTCAAAATGAATGAATGAATGGGCGTTTCTTTGACTATGTATAGGCAAATATGGGCGTTACGAGTCGATTGTGATTTATAAAGGGAAACAGGCGTAGGGAGTGCCGTACGCACTTCCCTCGCCGGTACGCAACGTTTTGTGAATCGGAAAATGGCAGAAAATGTATGTACCTATTTTTGTGCTTTGTACTACGTAAGCAACCTTCCTACGTCAATCCTACGCAAGGCGTTATAAATGAGGCCCCTGGAGATCAGAATAATAGAATCATTACATGTATATGAAAGCTTCCTGTGATTAAACTTTGCTTTAAGAGGTGCAGGCTGTTAACAGATACTTTAGCTAAGTACAATTATTCACCATGTGCTAAACTACTCAACAAGTTTATTTTTACTTATTAAATTACACAGTTTCACTTTCAACATAGTCGAGCAAATGAATGGAATGAAATAGCATGTCTTAGCACTAAGGGATTTGAACTCAAATATGAAGTGCGTTATAAATGAAACCCATTATTATTATTATTATTATTATTATTATTATTATTATTGTTATTATTATTATTATTATTGTTATTATTATTATTATTATTATTGTTATTATGTTAGCTTATTTGCTAATTTAGCATATAAAGCTGACTTCCTGTGGCGTACAGTGCACTCATCGGTCTGAAACATGCTGCTGAAGTTGAAAAACTACTAAATACTTGAAGCACGTTCTAGACAGATGTTATAACCTGAAACAAATATAATAGAAGATAATTAAGTAAACATCAGCTCCACTCTGACAGACCAGCAAAGGTTTGACAAGATTGACAAATGTCATGATTTGTTTTAATATATATGTATTACATCCCTTAGGTTGCAGCTTTTGAAATGAATCACTAATAGTTTTTTCTTCCACAATGTGTTCATGGTAGAGGATTACCAGACTTAATGAGCTAATGACGAGGAATATAAATCCCTGTCAGATCCGAGCTAGGTGTGAACGCAGCAGAGAAACACTGAGAGAGAGAGAGTTAACCATCAGAGAACACAAAGTCTAATATCGATCAGAAATATGTCTAAAATGTAAGTGTATATATTATAATTTTACTTTTGTTTTGTTGTGAAGAGTTTACTTATTTTAAAAAGACATGCATCACTTTCAATGATAAAGCAAAGAATGAACAAGTTTCTCTCCTCATTGAGAATTATTGAGGTGATTTCTTTAAAGTGGACCTATCATGCTATATTATAATAATATAGTGTAGGGCCATACCTATATAAGGCATATTTATACTTTTTTGTTTTCAAAATACCAAACAGATCATGCATTTTAGCCATGCCTCATTTCGCTCAATTTGCATTTTGTTAACCCTGTTTTAGCAAGGGCTGATTCAGTGAGAACAGCACCACCTACAGGCCTGGCATATGTACTACAGCGTCTCCAGCGCTTTCGAACGGCAATGGCCGTGGCTGTCTCCTCCTGATTGGTGGAGTTGGCCCAATAGCCGTAGCGCCACCGTCCTGACGTCAGGACAGTGTTCAAATCTGGATCAGTTTTTATCAGATCCGTTGCAGCCCCTTTTTTAGAGATTTGGGTATGGAGGAAAATAGAGAGGGTTGTGTTTTCTGACACTTGGTGAGTTCCCTGGAACACCGGGGACACATATTCATGTAGAAAAGACGTACAAAAGTGCATTTTGCATGATAGGTCCCCTTTAAGTTTCAGCTGAAAAATGTGCCTTTAATATTCTCAGTTTCTCTTTTCTTTACTCTCACACTGTGTAAACTAATGCTCCTGAACATATTATAATGTCAACATGCTGACTGTATTATCTGCCAAAAATGAACCTGTTATTGTTGCTGCTGTTTATAATGCCTGATGCACATTTAAGAAATGCACTTCTGCTTTTGTTAAGACAACTGAATAGGAATGACTTAACCCTGTACCTGTGTTATGTGACTGCACGTGTGTTTCATGTTTTATTGTACTGTGTTTGTTCCGATGCAACACCTGTCTCACTAAAGACTTTACAGACAAATGTAATGAATTTAATTGAGTTCGGTAAAACACGGTACATCAATAAAAACATTGTCATTAAAGTAATTGACTGTTTTTCAGTAATGTAGTAAAAACAAAACTCTGAAGACATACTCACACAATCTGTGTAAGATTTAAGCGTTTTGAGATACATGGCAACCCTCACATTAATAATAATAATACACTTTATTTATACCTTTCATGCAACATGCAGCCCAAAGTGCTTTACAGAGACGACACAAAGAGTGAGGGACATTATTAACAAGTTATAAACAAACAGAAAGGGTTATATTTCATTTCATTTGTTCCGTTCATGGAATGCAAAACTTCATGTATAATAATTGTTAACATAACTTGTCTCTGTAAACACACCGTTAACCTAAAAGGAGCAGGGAGAAGAAGATAATCTCATATGACCTGCCCCTTTCTGTCCTTCATCTTTCTTTTTCAAAGCCAAACATAACAGTATTTTAGGAGAATAAGAGAAACACAAGAAAGACTGATTTCCCACTTGACAGTTAACGGAAAGAAACAAAACACACCAACAACGAAACCTCACATGAACAAGGAAAAGTGCAACCCCCTCATCTGAGTCCTGCTGGAGGAGAAGGGGGAGAGCGGCGCATAATAATAATAATAACAATAATAATAATAATGGGACCTGCAAATAAAGGACAGACATCACATCAAAGACATCAAACATATTTACCGAAGCAGGACCAGAGTACATCGACTTATTCACATTCTGCTTCATATAGTCTCATTATTCTTAATTTATACAATTCCTTTAACTGAAAAATACAGTTTGATATCACAGAGCCATCAAACATGATCAGTGAGACCAATACAATGACCCCAACATAAAAACATGGGTCTTTAATCTACTTTAAAAACTCCAATGGGAAGCTGCTCCATAGAAACAGAAAGCAGCCTCCCCAGATCTCTGTGAATATATAAGGTTAGGAATAATAAGGTTACACTGAACATCCAGCACTCTATCTGAGCCACAGCCGCCCTAGTTGTTGATAGGCGTAAAATAACCTGAAACAAGATATTAATAAGAAGACAAATTAAAAGGTATTTTGAGAGCACAGGCTTTAACATTATGGCAAAACATTCTTGAAATATGTTTATATTTTATGGAGAAATATTAAAATATAATTTGTATTTTTAATTTGCAAACACCAACAAAGCAGATGTGTCCAGAGTGTTGTCTCTGTGTCTTCTCAGATGTGCTTCATTGTGTCAGGTTGATTTATTGACACCACAAACATCAATATATAAACGATGATACCATACGACTGAATGTGTGATTAATTTACAGCAGTGAAAATAGAGAACTACCTGAATGAAAAGTGGATAGTATAAATAAAAGCATCAGCTGAGTGATAGCGTTACATCCAGTGGCGAGCCGTCAGGGCCCTCTAGGCCCTCTGTGAGGGCCTAAGATATTCCAAAAAATAATATTTAAAAACATTAAAAAAAAAAAAAAATTTTAAAAATATATATTTTTTTTATATTATTTTTGTTATATTTTTCATTAGTTTTACGGAAAAAAAACTTGATTTAATAAAATAACATTTCCAAAGAAATAAATCCTTCGAATCTGCCTGTTCGGTCTCTGTTTGAATGTGAAGGGTTACATGAAAGAAGGTCTGGCCCTCTCTGCGATTCACAGAGGGCCCGCTATAGTAACTGAACGAGAGAGTAATGTCAAATGACAGTACAATTGACCAATCATATCTTCCCTCTAAATGGGTGGGTTTCATTATCGCGGACTTTATGACAAGTTCCGCCCGCTGTGAAACTTTTCTTGTTTCCATAGGAACAACAACTTCCTGTCAACAGCGTGAACTCGCCTTCAAAATAAAAGCATGCCAAATTACACGTAAGACATACAACTGTAACGAAAGTAACAAACACAATGCAATATCATTTTCAATGTCAAAGAACACAAATTGGGTTCACAGGTGTTGTTTTGTGTGGTAGAGGGTC